CGTGAAGGACGAGTAGCACGGCGTGCAGGGCTGGAGTACCGCGGCGTGGAGGTCCATCNTTGGACAGCTGGTTCTGTGCACGTCTTCGCTTTTCGGGCTCGTTTATACTCGTTTGGACTCGGAATTCGATTCCGCTTTTTTCTGTGTGTTCCTAACGAACTCCTCTATCTAATTACGCTTTCCCGACTAATTTTCGCCTGAAATCCGGTCCTCCCGAAGCTTCCGACCTACACACCAAAAACAAAGAAAAAACCGGAAAAACACCGAAAAACACAGAAATACTCACAAAGACGCGAAACACGAAATAAACGACAAAACGATTCTAAAACCGCATAAATGACTCAAAATGGGGGAAAAAGAATGAGAAAACAGACACGAAGAACGTAACAAAAATGGGACAAAAAATCCCGGTCAACATCGACAAACCAACGACCATAGTGCAAATTCTAAGGTGATATGAAATTTGACTCAGACTCCAGGAGACTCGACGAGGCTCAGACGATACCCATCAACAGAAATCAGAAGCATCTCATAGTCAACAATTATTTTTTAAAACCGTATGTCTTGATTCTAACTATAGATTCTGCTGCGTTAGGAATTATTTTTAATAGACTTGGATATGAACATCGACAATGTTCATAGAATCCAACATCTCCTACCCGGCCTACTCCTCAGACCAACTCTATTCCTCTGGCCCAACCTATCCCCGATGTCACCTTTAATACAACTTAGAACATGGTCTGCGTGGAATGAATTTATGCGAATATGGTACAATGCATTTTCCTAATCTCGATCGAAATGTGGTATCCACAAATAGACTAGTGATGGACGAGTTTATATACGATCTTCGTGCACTCATAATTGAAAATCAAAAGTTGGTTGCCAATATGGCTCGATATTGGACTCGGTTTACCATAATCATGGTCGGATGTATTTTGTTTATAGTTGGCGACACTGGTAAAACGTATGTCTGGAGGACGTTGTTCTATGCTTTGATTAAGTGAAACGTTGCATCAAGTAGTATCGTGTCACTTTTGTCGCCCTATAGATGCACTGCGTGTCCACGATTTAAAATCCCACTAAGCCCAACGGAGAAATCTACATGTGACATCAGCAAAAAAAGTTATTTGGCTGAACTGATTATACGATATCAGTTCATCATTTGGGATGAATCCCCATTGTTAAATAAGCATTGCTTCAGGCGGTTGACGACACGTTACAAGCCTTAATGAGATAAAAATCCAGTGAGGAAAAATCTCTCACTTGGCGGCAAGTCTGTTATATTTGGTGGCAGTTTTAGATAGATACTCCCCGTCGTCCCTAAAGACAGTTGAAGTGATATAGTGAATGCAATGACAAATTCATTCAAGTTGTGGCGGTATTAAATTGTTCTCAGACTGATTGGAATATGAGGCTTTGTAGCCTTAGTAGGGGTGATGTGTATGATGAGTTGAAGCGATTCTAAGAATGGTTTGCAAGAATTGACGACAATAGAGTTGGTGGATCAACGACGGTTGTACAGATGATATTTCTGATGATATTATTCTTAAATCACAAAGGGATCATATTGTACTATTGTTGAGATTATCTACCCTACGTTCAGGAGTTCAGGTGATGACCTTATCTATCTGAAGGACAGAGCGATACTCGCTCCTACAGTTGATGTTGTTGAGTTTGTTAACGAGTACATGAGCTCATTCAACTCCTCCAAGGGAAGGACTTATTTGAGTTTGGACAACGCTTGCAAGTCAGATGTTGGATATGACTCTCTTAATAATCTTCATACTCCTGAATTTCTAAATGGTTTAAGAGCTCGGGACTTCCGAATCATAAATTGCACTTGAAGGTCGGCACTCTAGTGATGTTGCTGAGGAACATTGATCATTCTATGGGGTTGTGCAACGGTGCGCGTTTGGTTATAGCTCAATAGCCATGTCCTCGAATGTCGAATTTTAACTGGTGTTAGGGCTGGTGATAAGGTGTTTATTCCTAGGTTCACATGTTGGGATCTGTGAGGATCTCGTTATGTACAAATCACGAATTCAATAGCAAACGTAAACCTATGCGCAGCGGATCTTAAGGTTTGACGTAGAGAACTTACGGCTTAAAATTTATGTAGATCTGGTTGACCACGAACGGTTGACCGCAATTGATTGACCGCAAATCACGTCTTGGGTTGCACGAACAAGATCAGATCAAAATCGGATCAAATGGATGCAAACAGATCAAAACGAATTTTTGCAGTCAGGCTCCTTCCGGCGGCGCGTGAGGGCGCGTGCGGCGTCGGAATTCGGCTACGTCGGCGGCGATGGAAAGCTCTCGTCGAGACGGTCGTCTGGGTATACTGTACGTCTCAATCGGACTTCCAATTAGTTCTGTAGGTCAAAATATATTTCGTCTCGGTTTACCTATAGATCTTCTACTGTATTACTCAATACACCCTTCTTCAACTTGTACCAGTGGAGCAACAAGAAGAAGATAAAGCTCAAATGAGATCTAGAGAGAGAGTCGTGTTTCACGTGAGATGTGAACTATGTTCCCTTCTCATGAGCTTAATGATGTATATATAAAGTTACAGTAGGGACCCTAAGGAGATTAGGAAAAGGGCTCCTTAATTAATCAGACTAACTGTGGGCCAAACCCACTCCTCTAATTAATTAAATAATATTAATGGGCCACCAACATTATATTATTGCACTCCCTTTCCCTAGCCCAAATTACATTTGAGACTCCAATAATAATTACTCGATTTACCTCCCCACGTTTAAGATATAATGTTCATTAATTAATTCGATTACTGACAATCAAGAATTAATTAATTTATTATTATTTTACCGAAGCTAGCGCTCGTTCATCACATTCTTATTATGCCGGAACTTAATCCACCTGCAGGGTTTAGCATAACAATCCTTCATGAACTCACTCCGGGGACATCATCAAACTGACGCACATGGTGACCGTGAATATCCTAACAGCACATCCTATATATAATAATATTACCCAAAACAGTAGGAATATTAATCCAGCGAACTGAACCTCACCCATGTGAATCAAAGTAATATATATTATATATATATCTGCCTGTTTAATATCACGGGTTAAGAGAACGCAGTAATTAACCGAGGCCTAGTTCATTTACGACGATCAGTATAAAATGAACTTCTCCTCTCTGGGATCCTGTTCAATACATAAATGTACTAGTGCAACTAATCAGTCAAGACAAACTGTACAGTTGACACTACAACCGTTCGGATGGGGTGTTCATGTCCATCTAGGTTGTGAACAACTATTCTTGTTCGCAAGTGACTGATAGAGTGATCTTCGGTTCGCCCGATGACGACCCACCCTATCTAAGTGCAGAACAACAGAACATAGAACTTGTTTAATCTAACATGATTCTCATTCATAAAGGGTAAATGTGTAATAACATGCAAACCCAAGCTTTCAGTATATAACACTAACATCACTATCATACCATCTGATTTGAGGGTACCGTTCAAATTTCAACGCAAGCAGTTTTCTCTCATGGTTTCATATGTTATGTCAATCAATAAGAGTCAAGATCAGACTCTGTCACACGTCGACTTACTACTGAAAGCCTTGTATTCAGTTATGGGAGTTGTAGGTGACTCTTTCCAGAATCATGAATCAGAGTGAATTGAAGATAATGATCTATGGTGATTAAGACTCTAAGGATTCTTTTTGATAATATTTAAAAAAATATTTTCTTAATTTATTTTTTTTCTTCGATTAATTTTTTATTTTTTACTTTTTTTTGTATTTTTAATTCCGTGCTCCTTATCAACGTTAATTTTACCGGTGTCCGGTTAGGGTTTTCTCCTCTTGGGAGTTCGCTATCGATTACCGGTTTTCGGTTAGATTCAACCTTCTAAATATCTCTTTCACCTCAACTACCCCTTCACATTAACCCTCTTTTCATCCCCATCACTCTCTGTCTACAGTTTTCGTTTCTTTTTCATGATGCAAGAAGACATCACGAATCGTCTACCAAATTTCTCCCTCTCACAAAAAGAGAAAAACATCACAGACCTCGACTATTCTGACATTAGACTTAATGCCGACGAATGTAGACGTACCCTATTTGGGAAAATTGTCGGTGATCGGAAAGCGCATCTCTTTGGGCTTAAGAGAACTATGGTGCAAATTTGGCAACTCAAGCATCCACTTATAGTCCGAGAGATTGAGCCAAGCTTTTTTCAATTCATCTTTGATTCTGAATCTGAGAAAAACAAGGTCGCATCTGGCAAAAATTGGTCCTTTGAGAACCAATACATTATCCTAAAGGAGTGGCAAGAGGACCTGTCAGCAAACCACGATTGCTTCAAAGAGATGGACATCTGGGTCCAGGTTGGCAATATTCCTCTTGACTGGCTTTGTTCTGATGTGGGATTAAAGATAGGCAAGTCATTCAAGAAAGTAAAGAATGTGACTATTAGCACTGGTTCTGGTAATTGTGGGAGATATCTGCGGTTATTGGTTACAATTGATTTGAATGAGCCACTGCTGCGGTGCACTTGTATCAAACTTGGCGATAAAATCAGAAGAATAGAGTTTAAGTATGAGAAATTAATAAATATGTGCTACTACTGCGGGGAATTGGGCACCTTGACAGAACTTGCAAATTCCGAATGGAGGACATCTCAAACGGCACCTTATCAGAAGGACAATACGGGAAATGGCTAAAGGCTGCCGAAGGAACTTTCTCACCTCGACCAAACAGACCCTTGGATACAACAGTCACACCATAAGAGACTCCCAACCCCCAAGGTAATTCAACAAATGGAAATCAGCAGGAAGTTGAGACTAGTAACTCCAATGTCTCTCTCAAAGAAAAAGCAAATTCAACGAAACTGGCCCTTGTGCCCAACACTTCAAACCAGCCACCTGCTAGCATATAAGATAAGATAAGCCCGCCAGCAAGCAAAGCTCTCCTTCTCAAATTCGACAGCAATGCCACATCACTTGGAAATGAGCAACTGATGGATTTCTCACTGTCTGCACCACAACAACCAATATTTGAGGATAAGCAAGCAAAAATGCAAGAACCCAGGAAGAGATGGACAAGAAAACAGGCAAAGGTAGCAAGTGCAAGTAACTCCAACACCACCAATGCACATGTTATCCACTCAGAGAGTGGAAAAAGAAACAGGCCTGTTGACAATAAGATCCCTGCATCCTCAACACAACCAGAAGCCGAAGACAGCCCCAACAAAAAACAGAAGATGATCGTCGCACAGGTGGAGGAAGTCAGCCTAAAGTGGCCCCAAGGAGATAAATGAAAACCATGATGTGGAACTGTAGAGGTCTGGGTGGGCCCTCTACAGTTCCCCAACTCAAGGAATCCTAGAGATCCCACCACCCAAATTTTGTTTTTCTGTGTGAAACTAGAAAATCCAAAAAATTCAGAAATACTGTATGTAGAAACTTGGGAGTAGAAAATAGAAGGATAACCTCTGATCCTGTTAATAAGGGGGGAGGATTAATAGTTTTTTGGGATAAAGATGTAATCATTCACCAGCTCATATGTCAGTCTTTTTGTATTGAAATAGAATTCAGCCTTACTACAACTCATGATAAATCCTGGTTTGTTTTTGTTTATCTGAGCCCCTGCAGGAAAACAAGAACTCATCAATGGCAATATCTCAACTATGCTATAGACAATTGGGTCAGCAGATGGGTCATAGCAGGTGATTGGAATGGCATACTATGCCAAGGAGAAAAGAATGGAGGAAGAATCAGACCTGAAGCAAGCTTCTGGGGCTTTAGAACCTGTCTCGCAAATTTGGGAGGGCAGGAAATTTACATGGAAGGCTATCCCTTCACCTGGGGAAATAATAGAACTGCTGAAGGGATATATTGAAGAAAAGCTGGACAGAATGGTGGCTTCTTTGCATTGGCTTCAGTCATACCCAGAAGCTAAAGTCATCAACATTTTCAGAAGTGCTTCTGACCACAATCTTCTACTACTTCGTACTGGCACTCCACAAGAAAACAAAAAAAGGCAATTTTGCTTCGATAAGAGATGGCTCAAGAAACCAGGTATCAAGGAAGAAATTCAAAGGGCTTGGAGCCAACCAACCAATGGCTCCCCAATGTTCAGACTCACTGAAAAAATCAAAGCAACAAGAATAACACTCTTAAAGTGGAGCAGAACATTTAAAACTGAATCAGCCAAAACCATTGAAAAGATTACTGCTGAGATGAAGGGACTGAGAGAACAAGGGAGTACCAGAAATTGGGAGAGGTGGAACCTGCTTAAAAAACAGCTAGATGAAGCATATGAAGCGGAGGAGCTATTTTGGAAGCAAAAGTCCAGGATACTATGGCTTAAGGAAGGAGATAAGAACACAAAATTCTTTCATGCCTTTATACTTCAACGAAGAAAACACAATGCCATTTCCAGAATAATCAGAGATGACCAAACAGTATGCTCCACCAGAGAAGAAATAGCGGATTGCCTCACAAACTTCTATCAAACTCTATTCACATCCGAGGGTTCTGTTGATATTGGTAATCTCATCAGTTACATTCCTACCACCATTACTGAGGCTCAAAATGAAACACTGGTGGCACAAGTAACAGAAGAAGAGATCAGAAACGCATTATTCAGCATGCACCCAGATAAAGCACCAGGATGGGATGGTATGACACCTTCTTTCTTTCAAAATTTTTGGAGTATCATTAAAAATGACTTGTGTGAAGTTGTTACATCTTTTTTCTACACTGGGCATATTCTGAAAAACTGGAACCTCACTTTAATAACCCTAATCCCCATATGTCAAGTGCCTCTCACTGTGGGAGATTACAGGCCAATAAGCTTATGTGAGGTCATTTATAAAGTCATTTCGAAAATTCTTGCTGATAGATTAAAGCCCTGCCTACCTTTATGCATTAGTAACACCCAAGCAACTTTCATTCCGGATAGGCAGTTGCTTGATAATGTTATTATTGCTCAAGAGGTTTTTCACTTTCTCAATAGACATCGAACTGGCACTAAAAGATATATGGCTCTAAAGCTTGATATGTCTAAAGCGTTCGACAGAATTGAATGGGGCAGCATAAGTAAAATTATGGAAAAAATGGGATTTCATATGAACTTCGTTAAATGGGTTATGGCTTGTGTGAAATCTTCCTCATTTTCTTTCAAACTTAATGGCCATCCTGCTGGATATATTTTGCCTACAAGAGGAATCTGGCAAGGAGATCCCATTTCCCTCTATCTGTTCCTCTTGGTGACAGAGAGCTTATCTTGCTTAATTCAGCATGAAATGGCTATCGGTTCATATAAGGGACTAAAAATATCAAGGCAAGGCCCAATACTCAGTCACCTCTTTTTTGCTGATGATTCACTACTATTTTGCCAAGCCACTGCTGATTCCGCTAACCATATTCTGGAAATGTTGGAGAAATACAAAAGCTTTACAGGTCAGCAAGTCAACATGGTGAAATCCTCGGTGTTTTTCAGCAAAAACACACCAGAAGATGTGCAGAGAAATATTTGTCACATCCTGCAGGGCATTACTGTGCAACACTCCTCGAGATACCTGGGATTGCCACTTGGCATTGGAAGATCCAAGGGAGAAACCTTCAAATATGTGGTGGATGCTGTTAAAAGCAGGCTATTGAGCTGGAAGAATAAATTCTTATCAGGAGCAGGTAAAGAAGTTCTAGTCAAGTCTGTTCTCAGTGCACTCCCAACCTTCACTATGTCATGTTTCCTCTTGCCTGTGGGCTTATGTAAAGAATTATCTCAGCTTTTTGCCCAATTTTGGTGGTGCTCTCAATCTGCAAACAAAACTGGCATCCACTGGAAAGCATGAAAATTACTAACTCTTCCCAAGGCAGCTGGGGGTTTAAACTTTCATGATCTCCAGGTTTTCAATGAAGCACTTATCCTAAAGCAAATATGGAGGCTAATCACCAAGCCAGGAATTTTCATGAGCAGAGTTCTTAGACACAGATACTTCCCTACTGGAGACTTCTTTGGTGCCAAACTTAATCAAAATGCCTCATGGCTGTGGAGATCATGGCTAAAACTGCAGAAAAAATTCCTCTAGGGCTTCATGATGCAAGTACGAGATGGCAGAAAAACACAGATCTGGGAGCAACCATGGGTGCCAAACCTTTCCAATCATAAGTTGTTAAACAAATCCAGCACAGCACCATCTTTAACCTGGGTGTCTGAATTAATTGCAGAAGATGGAGTATCATGGAAAGAGGACCTCCTTAGAAGATGTTTCTCCCACTCAGAATGCCAAGCTATTCTCCAAATCAACACATTGAGCAGACATCTCCAAGACAAGGCTACATGGTCCTTCAACCCAAGACAGGTTTTCACTGTGGCTTCTACTTATGCTCATTTAATCTATAACAAAATCTTGCAGCTTGATATTCTAGAGAATAGTACAAATGCTGTTAATCTAAGGAAAATGAGGAACAGAAGCTGGAAGCTAAAAATAAAGGGCAAAGTGAAGCACTTTATTTGGAAATGCTATAGTGGTATTCTCCCAGTTGCTACCAACTCGTATAAGAGAGGTCTCAAGATTGATAGCATTTGCATGCTCTGTGGCCAAGAACCAGAAACAACTGAACATGCTCTTTTTCACTGTCCAAGAGCTCAAACAGTCTGGAGATTGTCACATATTCATTGGGAAGGGCCGGCTAAATTCCATAACAACTTTACACACTGGTGGACAGACCTTTGCCTAATAAAAGCTGAAAAATCCATTGATCACAGAATACAGCTTTCAACCTATATTTTATGGCAACTCTGGAAAACAAGAAATCTATGGGTCTTTCAAAAGCTCTGGACCCCTGAGCAGATTGTTGGGAGCAATGCATTAAAAGAATGGCAAGAATTTTCATCTCTTTGAGCTTATATATCTTAAATTTTCCTAGCTAGGCATTTGCAGTGGCTAGTTTCTCTGTTTTTGGATAGATGTTCAAACATTTGGTTTAGTTTATTCATAGATCATATTGTTTGGCTACTAACAGGTTTTCCGCGCGTTCTTGCGGCTGTTACTATTGCCCGATTTGTACTTTTCTGTTTTCTAGGAAGCCTGTGAGCTCTCCTCTGATCCACTTTAGATCGTGGTCCGATGGATCCCGTGTACGATTTGAACATTTTATTTATGAGATAATATATTACCGTTTCGAAAAAAATAAAAATAAAAAAATTCCGTGCTCCTTTAATATTTCACTGACTAAATAAATAGTTAGCTTGGTTTCCAATAGCATGTTTGAAGATGCGCTTGTGCAAGTCCATCTTTAAAAGACTGATAGTGACTACACTCGCACTTTCGTCGTAATAGCAAGTGGAGGCATCTCAACTACTCCAACATTTATATTAAATCATCAGCTGAAACAGGATAGCTGTTTAATGTATCAATCGCTAACAATTAGCAAGAAATAGAATACCTCCTATTTATAATATTCATTGAATTTTGTTTACAATCTATAATCAGTAAACGAATGTAGACTAGAATTAACACCACTAACACATACAACAAGCTCACAATATTAAAATACTATAATAATAATGGAGAATACACGTCCCTGAAAAAGAGAATTAAATCATGATTTAAGAGTAATTGTGTTATTGCATATGACAAAATAGCTATTATTTATATTTTCCACTGTTCTAAAAATCGGCCTAGGCCGGCCGCTTAGGCGGCGCCTAGGCGCTAGGCGGTGCTCGAGTGCCTCCGATTTGTACAAATCGGCAAAAGAAATCGGCCAGGCGGCTAGGCGGCCCTAGGCGCTCCTAGGCGGCCTTGGCAGGCTCGACGGTCAGGCGGTTAGGCGGCGCCTAGGCGGGCGTAGGCGGACTTAGGCGTTCCTAGGCGGGCTCGGCGGCAATTTTTTAATTTTTTTTTAATTTTTTTTTTATTTTTTTAAATACTAATTACATTATTTTGTAATCATATTTTCTTTAATATATATTAATATTATTATTTGGACTTTGGTGTGTGAATTTATTATATGTTGAGATAATTTTATTTTGTAGGTAGTTAAAATAAATAAAAAATAAGGTATTTACTATTGATTTCTGGGCCCCGTCTAGGCGCCGCCTAGGCCCCGACTAGACGCTCTAGGCGCTAGGCACTGGTCGAGCGCCTAGCGACTTTTAGAACACTGATATTTTCACAAAAAAAAATATACTTTATTTTTATATTTGTTACTTGAACAAGTTAAAAAGCCACAGGAAATACAATTTTCCACATGCCCCAAAACAGAGATCCAATCTCAAAGTTCTCAATCAATAAAAATAAGAAGAAAAGAAAGGAAAGATAGAGGACTACCAATATTTCTAAACCAATTTAACCAATTTACAAACAAATTCACCTTTAATAATAATAATGAAAAAACGAACAACTTAAGAGAATAAAAACTATTTGGTGATGATAAAATTGATCTGTGATAGAAAATGGGCAATTGATTGATTCATCAAAAGATATCAAGAATCTCTAATATGTAATTATTGCAGAGTGGGCAATTTCCCCTTTGCACCCAAAGCTCCCGGGAACACAGCCTGCAAAAGGTATGGCCGCAGGGGATAAAAGCCGCGCCTTTATGCCTCACCATACACACGCAGCAGCCGCTGTGCCCTCCGCCGCCGGCTACCGCTCCGCTCTCCTCCGCCTCCCCTCTGCCGTCACCCGCCGAACTCTCCAATCCCATCTGCCGATCGTTCTCCGCCAGCAGGGCCATCAACGACATCCTCACAGGTGGCTCCGCCCTGTGGCGTTCTGGTGAGCCCAAATTCTCGAATCTTTCGCTCGAGCGTCCGGGACTCGGACCGGGCAGTGTTGAATCGGTCGGGTCGAGCCGGGTCGAAGGCCGACGAGTCATCACCATCATCTCCCGGTGGTTGCCTCCGATAAGGACGGAGCCGCCTCTGGCGCGGAGGCCGATCTTTTCCCTCAGCTGCCGCCAGCTCCGCCGCCCGTCTCTCGGGCCGGAGGTCTGGTCCTCTCGGATTATGTCCAACAGCGTCTGGTTCGACTGAACACTCTGCAGCGGCGGCACGTCGGTGGGAGGAACTGGTTCCGGCGCCGGAGATCTCTTCTCGCTGAGGATGGCGAGTAAAGTGATGCTGGAAGAGCTGTGGCGGCTGCCTCCTGCGACGGTGGTTGAGGTATTGGTTCGGCGATCGTCGTCCTTGATTCGTAGAAAGTCTCGCAGGTTGTGCGAGTCCAACTTCTCGCCGGCGCCGACGAGCGCCATTGTCTGTAACGCAATTGTAATTGTCGGAGTGAATCAATCAAGAATTGAGGTTATTATTACCGGCAAAGGAGAAAAAGAAAAGGCGAAAGGCAAAAGGAAGAGGGTACTCGAAGAAAGAGAAAAAGAATAAATTAATTAATACAAACGAACAGTACTTATTTCTTGGGGAATTCAAGAATGGGAAGCTTCACCAAATAAACGTGAAAGATTTATTGAAATTCGAAAACGAGGCCAAAAAGAAGGAAATAGAAGAGAAATAATTTCGAGAAATTAAAACAATCTCAGATCTGCACAATTTTCATTCACTGCTGTTATAGAGAGAGAGAGAGAGAGAGAGAGAGAGAGAGAGCAGTTGTGAGTAAAATTTAGGATGTCTGTGCAAGCAAGCAAAGAAATAGATTATAGATCTGAAATGAAATAGCAGCAGCTCTCGAATTCGTAGATGATTAATATTTAAAATTACAGATAAATCAATGAAAGAGATGGAGAGAGAGGTGATCCAATGATTTGGTTAATGCGACCAGAGATTTATATATAATAATACAGTTTTACTCTTGAAGAAGAATAACAGATCGAGAGAGATGAGGAGAGAGAGGTGTGGAGTATGGAGATAAGATGAATATTCTGAACCTCAAACAATATTTTACTTTTGTTTTATCTTTTTATATTTCTTATACATTTTCTTTTGGGGTAAATTTGACGCCTTTTTTGCTTTTCACATC